CTTTTCTCATGGCACCTCCCTCATCATCGCGCGATGACTGCGCGGTGGCCGGCTGCGCTCCGGCAGTGCGAAGAGCGGCTATTTAATACTATGTATGCAAGGGCGGCTACTCCATTTTGGCTCAAGCTGCCGTGCTGGAGATCCCAGAAAAGCTTTGTCTTAGGGATTAGGCATGGCTTGCTCGGTGCGCTCGCTGGAGTTCGCTCATAGGCGTTTGAGTGCTCTCAGCGTGATGACGGGGCTGGAGAAGGCAGAGATCTATGATCGGCTGTACGAGGGGCTCCGTCATGCCATCATACTGGTGCATTCCTTCAGCCCTCGATCTTCGGCCGCTGCGCTTTTGCCCCTGTTGGACTTGCTGACCAGTCTTCAGGTTGACTCCATGCAGCCGGTGGGGACAGGTGTGCTTCATCAGCAGGGAGATTCCTTGCAGGACGCTGGCTCGGCCATGGACAAGGAGATTGGGGTGATCTTGGCGTCTAAGGTCGGGCGCCGAGACTCAGGCGGCGGCCACTCTGACGGGGCTCTTGCGCGGGCTTGGTGAGGACCTGCCTTGCTGGGCTTTGGTGTTTTGCCTGCTTAGTGAACGTTTGTGCCGATTGCTAGCTCGTGTTTGGCTCATGGCCTCGGCGGCCGTCCTGTGGGAAGCCCTCCGTGACAGGGGTATTTCGGAGATTGCCCCGCTGTGCGTTCAGGCTGGGGTTGTGTCTATCGAGGATGTTCAGGGTTCATGGCAACGTTTGTTAGATGTCGGTGTCCAGCGGTGGCAGCTGGAGCTGCTATTGACTGGGCCGTCCGGTCACAAGTTGCTGCTGTGCCAGTGGAGGGCCGACCAGCCTCCCGTTCGCAAGAGGCAGCGAGCCTCACTGTCAGATGCTTTGCGAGCTGAGGAGCCCTCCGAGCGTAACCAAGCATTGGCCGAGTTGGAACAGGAGGTGTTAGCTAAGACGACGGTAGGACCGTGCGAGAGCCGGCTGGTGGTCTGGCGAAGGATATGTGCCAAGTGGGACGTGCCGGCATTTCCTTTGGATGATCGCAACGTTAGGGCTGTTGCGGCCTCGCTGAAGAGAGGGCGGTATCGATCCTCAGAGCAGTATTTTTCGGCAGCAGCATCTCACCAAACGAGGCGCCTGCACATGACAGTCCCCGCACACATCAGGTCCATCATCCGTGACTGCGTTCGCTCAATTCGGCGGGGCCTGGGTCCTTCGGCTTTGAAGGACTCCTTTGACTTGAGGTGCTTGGCCCCGTCGGTGATGGAAGGGTCCGAGTTCCAGGCCTTTTCGTGGTCTGTCTTGCCAGCCGCTGTGGATGCATTATTGGTTGCAGCTTACTTTTGCATGAGAGAAATCGAGATGGCATCGGCTTCGTCGTCACATCTGTCTTTTCAGGATGGTCGTTTGAGCATGCTTTTGCCAGCTCATAAGAGTTCGTCGCAGGGCGAGCTCACCTGCCGGGCGCTATGCTGTGGGTGCGCCGTTCGCAGGCAGGAGATGTGCCCCTGGCACGCCGGCGCTCGCCATCTTCAACGTCTGGAGATTCTACAAGCAGGTCTGAATCAGCACACCCTGCCGCTCTTCCCAGATGATCAGGGGAAGGCGTTGTCCAAGGCGGACATGATCGCTACCATCAGGTCCACCCTTAGGGCTGCAGGGGTGCAGACGACCCGACCGGACGAGTCGGGGGCTCAAGTCGAGCGTTTTTCTGGGCATGTCCTCAGAGTGGCCGGGACGCAGCATTTATATTTGCTGGGCCTTCGGTTTGATATGGTGCAACTTCATGGGCGATGGTCTTCGTGCAGCGATACTTGCAGTCTGCCCCTCTGCCAGTGGTGCCCTCAACGATGGCTCGGGCATTATCTTCAGGCCAGGCGAGGGAGCCTTCGGTCGATCAGCAGCTGGGGGTGCGAGACCCACAATTGGTTGCACCCGGGAGAGAGGCAGCCAGTTCTGCGGAGCCGAGTGAGGCCCAGTCATGTATGCCAGCGCGGGGCGAGGCCGAAGTGGCGGCGTTGCGATTGCAGTTTGCTGACTTCGTCGATAGGACACATGCTGAGGATCAAGCGTTGGTAGTAAACACCAGAACGAAGAGAGCCCACCTCCCGGATGCGAACGAGTCGCAGGCCAGGCCGGAGCTGTGGGCCACGGCCTGCGGTATCCTTTATGGGAACACCAGGTTCTTTCGCACGAGTGCTTCCCGACCGGAATGGGCGCGATGCAAGCGATGCTTTCCTGACCCAGGGATAACCGGTGCCGAGCCCGGTGAGGGGCAGGGCGACAGCAGTTCGGAAGATGGATCGTCCAGTTCTCTCTCCAGCTCCAGCAGTAGCACATCGTCGTAGGAAGCCCGTGAGTTTTTGATTGTGCGTGCAGAAACAAAGCCTTGGGCATCAGTTCCAAGCGTGGGTTGCTGAAGGCTCGGGACTTGGGGCTCCAGGCTCAGGGCTTCAAGCTCACACGGTTAAGGCGCCCTAGCGTACTTCTGTGACGCAGGACCCAGGCCTCTAAATTTTCCGGAAATTTAGGGCTCTGGGCGTTCGGAGAGCGAGTTGAGTGCATGCTGTGGTCAGGACCTCGGCTTGCCTTCTACCTCGCCTCTTCATCTCCCGAAAATTATGACTGTGGCCGGCGACCAGGATCATGTAGTGGACTTGCAGGAGGTGGATTGAGCCAGCCGGTAGGTGCTGAATGAGCCGCGAGCGGGCGGCAATACTTGGTGGTCAAGGCTCGCTCGCGTGAGAGCAGCTTTGCGCCTAGACGGAGTTTTTGAATCAGTGATCCGGGGCAGGTGGCCCCCGGTGACCTTCATCTTGCGCCCGTGGGGGTGCCTTTCTTGGCAGCAGTGCGTTGCGGCCCCAGCCAAAATCCGATCAGTGTGGCGTGCAGTGTTTTCTCAGAAGCATCGTGCTGCGGTCAGTTGTGGTACATGTTAGGTTCATGTTTTTCATGTCATGAGTTGGCAGTTTTTGGGCTGGAGAAACAGCCGGCCTGATTAGGGATCCAGCGATGGATCTGCAGGCTGTGGCCGATGCTGCAGGGGCTGGGTCCGATGTGCGGAGGTATCTCCGGATGCGCGGAGTGACATCAGCTGGTACGCTGGCCATGCTGGCTCCAGACGAGTCTACATATCGTGACGTAGTGATCGCGCCGTTGTTGGCAGGTTTCGGGGTCGGTGCAGATCGCATTGAGCTGCAGGAGGCGGACAGGCCCATAGCTGCAGCAGTGCTTCTTTTCATGCGGAAACTGGCAGTGGACTCACATTCGGCTTCCCAGCCGACCGGGGCACCGGGCCCGGCGGCCACCTCTGCGACTCCTGGCTCCACGGGGGCCGCCAAGGATGCTGATAAGGTGCCGCGCACTCTTCCTCCAGGTGTGTGGACGGAGCAGATTAGGAAGTACGAGGCCGTCGAGATTCATGGCAGGACCAGGGTTTTTCCTCAGCAGAAGCTCCTTGGAGCTGAGTCCTCTCTGGCTAAGTTGTGGCATCAGCTGAAGGTTACGAGGGACTTTGCCCCTCTTCCCTTGGGAGAGATCATGAGCCGGCGGTCGTTTGATGCCACAGGGGCAGTCAATGCCCTGTCCAAGCGGAAGCTTAGCAAGGAGCTGGTCGTGGATGTAGATCGTGACCGCCTGGTGGCCGAGGCCACCGAAGATTCGTGGGAGCCTCGCTCAATGCTTGCAGTCATTGATGCTTTGTATGCTTTGCGTTGGGCATACATACTTTTGGAATATGGACATGAATTTGACGTGTGCGCCCTGTCCGACGACTTCATCCACAAGGCTCGCCAGCGACCTCAGCAGCTAGATGCCTTTAGGTCTTATTATGAGTCTGCTACTTGGAAGCTGTGCCGCGAACTTCGATCGGGGCGTACCTTTGCAGAGTCCGTTGCAGCGGTTCGCGAGGATCTTCATTTGTTTCAGGAGGTCATGAGTCGCCCCGGGCCTTCCTCTGGCAAGTCGTCAGGGGCCAAGGGTGAAGGCAAGAAACGAGAGCCCGCGCAAGGCCGATGACAACCGCAAGCGCCAGGCGTGGGATTCCAATCAGCAGGCTTGGGGTGCCTCGAAGCAACAGCATTGGAGCAAGTGGCCTAAGAAGTGGCGGCCAGCTGCCTAGGGAGTCGGGAGCTCCGAGACCCGTGGCACATCGGAGTGTCCCGAGCCATCTTGGCCACATCACCGGTCTTTGGGCACCTGGTCGAGACCGAGCGGCTGGCATGATGATCCTAGCGAGGTTTCTTCAGCGTCGAGCGCACCCTCGAGAACAGTGCGCCCACCGCCGCCCCCCCCACCCCCGCCCGACACGCCCGACAAGGTGGACCGCACTTCATCGGTGCCGGCTTCATCATTGCGTTCCTCGGTGCCGGCCTCATCATTGCGTTCCAGGCCAGCAGTGCAGAGTGCATCATCGGACGGTTTGCCACAGTCTGTGATACACTTGGATTTCTTCTCCGGAGTGGGCTCGGCCACGCTCGCACTTCAGAGGCTTGGGATCACAGTTCGCCATGTGTTGTCTTGGTAGATTGAGAGGCCGCCATTGCGGTCGCACGGAAGTCCTCGAGGCGGACTACGAAAACCCAGAGAGGCAGCTTGCTGGCTGACAGCCCGGAATCCGCGGCCAGGCTGATTTGTTGGTCATCACGGCGGCGGCGCCTTGCCCTGACTTCAGCCGGATTCGTTCTGACAGCAGTCCCGGACGGCATGGCCCGTCCGGCAACCTCTTCGTGCAGTTTGCCACTTTCATCCGCTCCTTGCTGAACCTCTTGCCCGGGAGGCGGGCGTCTCTGCTCGTGGAAAACTTGGTGATGCATAATCCTGCGGATACACAGTGGTTTAGGAAGGAGATGGATGTTGAAGCGGTGTTGGGTGATGCGGGAGATTATGGCGCAATCCATAGGCCACGACTGTGGTGGTCGTGGACCGATTGGACAGCAGTCCGGACGTACCCTGGAGGCCAGTCGGAGCTTAAATGGAAAAAGCAGGGCAAAGTTGCCCAGCTGGTCTTGGATGTGCCCAAGGACTCCATGCAGGACTTGCAGCCGGAGGGTTTAGTTTTTCATGATAAGGTTCTCAAGGGTGAGGTTTTGTTGCCTTGCCTGACGACCCCTGCCATCGAAGAGGATGGAAGAGAGGCTCCTCGTAACATGAAGGGGAAAATTGATTCCATCACTCGTACCCGCTGGATCCAGGGCCACAGACAGTATGCCCCATGGTTCTTCGCAGAGACAGCTATGCTTCGCGACAAGGATAGCAAGCTGCATTTGTTGCCGATTGAAACCAAGGAAGCATTGCATCACTTTGATCGCGACTACTCGTCATGCCCCAAGGTCGCTGAGAAAGACCGCCATCGTCTCTTGGGTAACTCTTGGCACATGGGGGTGGCCACGGAGATGATGCGGTTCTCTCTGTTGTTTGGCGTGCGGTCCTTGCCAGGACCGTACGCGACGGATGCAAGCGATGTATCCGAGCTTAGGGATCTGGAGTCGGCTCAGCAGTTGGCCAGTCGACATCCGTTGTCCATGCAGCGGAAAGCTGAAACAAGCGCTCACGTTGACATGCAGCCTGCAGTTGACATGTGGGACCATTGGCAGTTGTCTGCTGAGGCCGTGCATCCATTGCATCAGCGCTCCACTCTAGAACCCGCCATTGAACTCACACTACAGAGGCTTCTTAAATTTCCACCAGATCGACTAGCGGAGTTTCGACGACAGGTCCTGTGTGACATCCAGAGCCGTAAGGAATCGTTGGCGGGCCAGACCCAAGCCTGGTTCGAATCGTTGGAACCACACGTCCAGCAAGCCTATAGTTTACCCGATGGCGGTGTTGTTCAAATTCCTTTGTTTCTTGAGCTTCTCCGAGGTTGTGCCTACCCGGACGTCGACGCTCTTGCAGAGGCGCTCTCTCGAGGCTTTCCGGTCTTGGGGCGCATAGAACCTTCACCAGGCTGGAGGCCTCGCTTGGATGACCGTTACGATCATCCGATCACAGCTTCAGCTTTTGCAGCTCTGAATCAACAGTATGTGAATGAGAAACTGCGTAAAGGCCGGGTTGATGATGAGTGGGAGGCCCTCCTTACTGAAATCATTCAGGAAGTCAACTTAGGCCGAATGTCAGGCCCTTATGCTGCACCCAGCGGTTGGACACGGCAGTGCGTGCCAGTCGCATCTCATGAGAAATTTTCTGTATGCCTGCCGGCGCAAGAGGACGCAAGGGTGGCTGCAGCGTTCTCAGTCGTCCAACAGGGCAGCGACGGCTCTAGGAAGGTCAGGCGCTGTGAGGACTACAGAAGGAGTGGGCATAAGCGGCATAATGCTACAATTCAAGTATCTGATGTTCCAGCTCACGACGATGTCGATAAGTGTGTGCAAATCCTCTTGAGACTGAATGCGGCAGGCCATTCTTCAGAAGTCTGGTGTCAGGACCTTTGGGCTGCGTATCGCCAGTTTCCAGTTCAGGTGACGAGTCACGCTTTTGCTTTGCTGCTTACACCATCCGGACCGACACTGTGGCGTCACGGGGTTTTACCGTTTGGCGCGGCTTCTTCAGTGTGGTGTTTCAATAGATGCGTGGATGCATTGACATTTCTGGCCCGTAGCCTCTTCATGATTTTGGTGATTCACTTCGTGGACGACATTGGTTGTCCTGATGCTCGGCACAGCGCGGCCAGCAGTTTTACTACTTTTGCTGAGCTCTGCGAAATTCTGGGTATGCGACTCAAACCATCCAAGGCGCAGGCCCCTGCTCTTAGACATAAACTTTTAGGCGTTTTTCTTGAAGTGTGCGTTGACGGAATAATCCTTGCTCCTGCTGGGGATCGGATTCAGAAGGTTTTGCAGGTCATCCAGCAGTCGTTACAGGATGACTGCCTCGAGCCGGCGGTGGCTCAGCGGCTCACTGGTAAGTTGAACTTCATCTCGACCACTCTTTTTGGACAAGCTGCGGCGGCTGCGATGAAGCCGTTGTACTCAAGAGCTCATGACTGCAACTCTCAGACGGCGAGCCAGCTAAATCACCCTCTGCGGTGCGCGCTACGCTCCTTACAGACTCTACTACGGAACCCGAGTCCTCGCTGGATTCCTTTCGAGCCCGCCTCTCAGTCGTCAGCTGTCCTGTACGCTGATGCTTTCTTCGAGTTGGGTGATAAATCTTTTGGATTGTCTGACGAGCCCCCAGAGAACTGGTACTCGACGAGCTTTCGGAGATATCGGAATGGGTGGGGCTTCGTTGTGCGCAGCCGTTCTACCATTCGATTTGCACATGGCAGCGTGCCACATGATGTGCTGGCACTGTTTACCTCGAGACGCGCATATATTTACTGCTTGGAAATAATGGGTCAAATTTTGGCGGCGGTAACTTGCAGTGACATCCTACCAGCGGTTTGGGTTGGCTTCTGCGACAATATGGCTGGTCGCTCCGCGCTGGTTCGGGGATACGGCCGAGATGTTTCGATCAACAATCTGCTGGCTTGTTTCTGGGCGGTTGCTCAACTCCTGGAATGGCAGCCACATTTCGAGTGGGTTGCCAGCGATCTGAACATCGCCGACCCTTTTTCGAGAGGCGACTGCTCGATTGGTGCATCTCGTCATTGGCACGAGCTCACATCTCCTATGGATGCCTTATGGCCCTTCTTCAAGAGGGTCGCGACGGACCTCGAGTACGCGCTGGAGGAGGCGCCCAGGGCTTTGCTGCAGCTGGAGTGGCGTTTTTCTGCATGAGGGCGTTTTTGCTTCGACTTTGAACGGGCGGGCAGAGGGCTGAGACGAGGCGGCAGTGAACTGTCTCAGCCTAGTGTTCAGCATCAGATCTGCCGGAGGCTTGATTGCACAAAGACGGCACTCACAAAGGGCGAGGAAAAGATCGCTCTGATTATTCCGAGTCGCATTCTGATCGAGTGTACATTTGTCGGTTCAGACTTTCAGTATGTTGTGACAAATGGGGATCTCTGAGCAGAAAGCTGATGATGCAGCTGCCGTGCTCGAGATCCCAGAAAAGCTTTGTCCCACCCTCCTCACCCTTTATTTTCGTGGGCATGATAGCCCGGTGTTCGTGCTGGGGCGGAGGCAGTGAACTGTCTCAGCCTAGTGTTCAGCATCAGATCTGCCGGAGGCTTGATTGCACAAAGACGGCACTCTCAAAGGGCGAGGAAAAGATCGCTCTGATTATTCCGAGTCGCATTCTGATCGAGTGTACATTTGTCTTTGCTGTTGCCTGTTGGTGGACTGC